ATCAGGGGGTCGTGGATAGCTGTTTCATACTAGTTTGGGAATCATCAGCAGTACACTCTTTTTGCCAAGGTTTGAACCCAGGACAAAGATACTTTGAGAAAAATTCCTTCAAATATAATTTTATCGACTAATTATTTTCTTCAAATCCATGATAAATACTATGGGTAGATCTTAATGGTGAAGAATTCAAGGAAGTGAAATTCGTCATTTGTATGAGTCAGATATGGGATGAATTATACACGCAACCTAAACTTAGGCGAAATAAAATTTTCTCAGATCCTTCTGTCAGCTATGTGCGATTTATTAGTAGCGAAATACTTTGATTTCTCAACACTTTCTCCCCCTAACGACATTCACAGTAAACACAATATTAGGTTCTCTAAACTTATAAAGCTCTAACAATTCAAAGCAAACTGATAGAGTGTTAATTTTAGATTATTTTCAGCGAAAACTAAACTTTGGAATGTAATACATGGCTTCAGAGGTTAATAGAAAGTGAAAATTCTATAAGCAGAACACATTTATCTGTGCGTCGGTGGCATAGCGGTTAGGACGCTCGCCGACCATGCACATGGTCCGGGGTTCGAATCCCGGCCGACGCACTCCTTTACCTCGCTAAGCCAGAAATAATGCTGGTGAAGAGGAAAGGTTGGGCATGAGGCTAGCAACCCCATCCTGTAAAATAAGCACTGCTACAGAAACTTCGAGCCACTAGCTTGAAGCCCTATGTTCCACTGGGAACGTGAACGAATAAAAAAAAAGAACACATTTATGGCTTATTACATTTATAGGTTGTATAGTGTCAATATTAGTCTTTTTGATGGAAAGGGTTAGGGAAAGTTGATTGACAGCTACAGAAACACAAGCTGCCCAGACACTCTTACTTATCCTTTTTATCACATTGTTTAGCCTGATAATAGAGAATTTGGTTGGCCTACAACGTTTTACATAGATTAAAAGGATTAGAGATAGACAAACAGACAGGTAGCTTGATTATTTTGGAATCTTTCCGTATATTCCATTGATTCAGACTGCCTGATTCACTTTCCCCACTCAAATAAAATTAAAAAATAGACTATCTAGAAATGGGGTTTAATCGGTCACAAAACTAATGTGAATGAAGCAAAAATATACTTGAGATCTTTAAGATCTTTATGCTGTGTCACACTGATCAACAACATATACGCTAAAAACAGCTTTAAAACATCACTCTGAGTACTTTAAAAGCTTTTACTTATATTTCAATAATGATTGCAGTATGATAAAAATTTATAGATTTCAAAAGACTATTACATTTATCTCTATCTCATTAAGATATCTAAAAGAAGAATTAAGTATGCCAACTGTTTCCTGTGGCTTTTTTCAGATTTTCCAGTTATTGCCTGATAAAACTCCCTGGACAGTCAGAGGTGTAAAGAGAAGGAAATATAAGGATTGTCTTAAAAGATGAGTAATAATCAGACGAATAAGGTGTTACCTGACTAAACGGTAACAAAAAAATGCTTAGTGTAGGGCTATAGAATGCCCAGTAGTGAATGACGATAGAAAACAGACAGAATTAATTAGCTGGTTAGATAATTATTTGCTGCAATAACATAAGTTTCCAAACCGTCAGGTATTGCAATTCGTGAATGATATCAATGTCACTATTCGCTAGTATAATGAATTATTGTTTTCAATGTTAAAATGGATTCGCCGCATTCCATTCTTAGTGGAATATTATGAATGGCGATGAAAACCACTTCAATGAAAGAACCACTGAAATGTCCGTGCACTATAGAAAGCTCAGCAAACTTCATCCAATGATATTAAATGAAAAGTACAAAGAGAGATTTGACAATTCCAATGAATTCATTTATTTTGAAAAAACCTTTTGTATTTCTTCATTTTCCGAAGACTATCAGAATAAAATAAAACTTTCAGTACACCGTATAAACAAGTTGTTTGATCCACTAGGTATGGCGTGTATAAACCAGTCCTTTGTTATTTTGAAACTACTTTTACTAATTATTGTGTTCGAAAGTATCTTTATTCACTAAAATCTCTTATCCAAAGGTATTTTTTGATTTGCTGGTATTTGTGTTCATGATTTATCTTGAGTGTCGTGAAGTAAAAAACGAACTACCTTTTCAGAAAATAACTAAAAGTTCTGCAATTAATGAAGGTGGAATTCGCAAAGCATGAAATTCATGAAATTCTATCGGCAATGATCTTCATTAGTTAAATGACTGGTTAATTTAATAATTGCTAGTTTGATATATAATTATATTCGCCATTTGTAAATTACACAGTTCTAGGTGAAAGTCTGCATCACTCTGATCTGGTTACCAAACACTACAGTGTGAGGTAGGAAATCTTCAACTACTTATATGGTATCATACTGCCAACACATTATACCCTGCTTTTTGTACTGAACAAATCACAAATATGGTAAATAATATGAAACTTCCTTTTCTTCAGAGACACAGTTTATATAGTGAACACAACGCATGCGATACATGTGGCGATGAAGGAGTTTATTACTTTACTAGGCTATTGAAATAAAAGGATTATTTCATGTAGTTGAATGGTTTGGAAAAATTGGACTAGCAGAAGAAATTTATTTAATTGGAAATGACAAGTAAACAGCGATAAAGAGACTCCAACTTATCAACTTACATGAATACGTGACTGCCAGTTAAATAACCGCCATACAATACATGGCACTGAAAACATAGCAGCTTGAAACATCAATAAAAATGGTACCCATTGGTAGTAGTGTATGGAGTCTTTTCTGCGTACTGTTAAATCCGCAGGTATTGTAGCTTGATCAGGTGAAATGAAATAAGTTGATGTAACCCAGCATACTAATGTTGCATATTCAACTTGTGCACTAGTAAATTCGTTTGGTGTCCAACAAGCTATTGGTTTACCAATGAATTGTCTGCCCATCACAACCAATGTGCATATCATAAGCATTGTTGTTGTATAAGAATGATTGATACGATCAATAAAATCATCATCAGTTCTACTCCTACTGCTGCCAATTTCAATACTTAGTCGTGTAAGTCCGTTTAATACGCTTGCTTCAAACATGATTATTTAATTGAAAACTTATTTATAATAACAACCACAGGAATTAAGTCGGAAACGTGACATAATGTTTGCATTATTCTCGACTCAACTTTTCTCTTGAAGTTGTATTTATAGCTTCTCATCTTATCCGACAAATTAGTTTTATAGTTCAGAAAACCTTCCCATGGCATGTCTGTATCTCTTTCAAATAGTGGATGTGTATTTAAGGTCAGAAATATACTCTGTCTGTTTATCTATCAATTTACCCGACTGTCTATCCAACCAGCTACGACTGGTAAAATTAGTCAAACCTCACCAATCCACAAAAACTTTCTTAGGCTGAGTAGAACAAGTAGTCTTTCTCTTAATTTCCTTTTTAAAACGAAATAAATGAAACTTTTGTAGTGTATAGAATACAACGAGATGAAAGTCATCTGGAAAAAGTTATAATCTGAATTATCAGTATATTGTTGAAACCAGAGTTAGTATCACAGTAACCGATTTACCACAGCGTAATAGATTTCCTGAATTTTGCCTCAACAGACGTTTTCGTTACAGTTTCTACCATCAACCCATTACATAAATCCTCATCTTTTATTCTATTCAAGGTCTCTAATCAATAATTGGTGAGATCATTTAAAAAAAAATCGGTTAAATATACTGCTTTTAATATGTTATTGTGATGACTGGGGTTGTGGGGAAAACAATGATTTTCTCAAGATTAGTACTAGTGGTCTTTAGATTACCAGGCCAGTACTCCAACAACTGAGACCAAGTTGACGTTCAGGTTTTAGCTCAGCTTCAGTGATACAGGATTCGGTACAACCGTCATATAAATGAATACTACTTATCCAACTTTTCGAGATCATATCTGCTAGACCCTATCAGCAGTAAGCTCTCATAGTTCATTTGGTAAGAGGATGGTTCCCATAACCTACGTTTCCTGCTGCATATCCAGTCTAATTTCTAAAACAAACAAAATGGTTAGAATGTATATCTAGATCACATAAATAATATAAACAGAAAGTTTTTCTTCGAAGAAATTTGAAAAAATTGAAATTGCAGATAGACATGTAGTTTATTTAATAAAATACCATGGTATCTCATGAAGCTTGCACTGAAACATATACACTCACGAGACTATACAAAAGCTTGTACCTAAAATGAAAGGAATGTTGCTCAGAGCTTTTAAAGATTCAAGTTGTAGCTTTCTGAGTGACTAATATACAACTCAGCACAAACCATCCTCAAAATATAAATATAAGTGAGAGTCAAGTTATATTATTATTATTGTTCCATTGGGTTCCGAGTGGAACGTACGGCTTTGACAGCACATCTCCACTTTCTTCTATTTTCTGCTATCCTCTTCAGCTGGGTCCACGACTGTTCATAATCTCTCATCTCCTCATACGATCTTCTTCATGTCACCCTTGGACAACTCACTCGTCATTTCCCATTCGGGTTCCACTCGAGCAATGGACTAGCGCACGATGTCATTCAACCGTATAATTAGCCTATGCCCAATCCATCTCCATTTTCTCCTACATATTTGTTAAACAGCAGGTTCTTGGTTAGTTTCCTAATTTGTTATTTACAAACTGTCAAATGGTAGTAGTGATTAAACTGGTTGGATATGTTGTTTATTTCAGTTACGTAGGACATCTTGTAATTTGTACAAGCCTTTTGTGTGATAAAACTGTGACTCAAATACAAATAGCTTGACTAAGTTTGATGGACTGGCTTTAGTTGTGGTGCTGAAAAGCTACTTGAATATCCCATCAAAACTTGATAAACTCCATAATATAGCTTTGTTTTCCGCCATGCAACAGCGACAATTGAATTGTTGTGATGAAACTGTACTGTTTCGCTAAGATATGCATTAGTTATATTAACTCACAGTCTACTAGAATATATCATTTCATTTGAATGAAGAGTAAACTCTATGAACACAGTTCTTCCCACTGATAAAATTGAAAAGAGCACGAGCAACAAATGTAACAGGACAATATTCAAACACTTACAAACATTTCTGGAATTCTTCTGAACTGCTCACAACCTAAACAATATCAAAAAGTACACATAAGAGAGAATAACACATAATTTCACAAATTGTAAAAAGTCGTTAGTAAATTCATATAGTTAATTTAAACAAAAGTGTCAGATGATTAAATATTTGTGTGATACTTTATGTGTTAACATCATGAAGTTTTATTTTACAAAACGGTTTTTAGTAGTATATACCAGAGATGCACAATTTCAGTTCCCTGGTTCCATATGTCGTTAAACAGATAAGTCCTTAAGAGCGGTCCCTTTTACCTGATCCTAAAGAAAAAATATTTACGTATTTTAAGATGCAGAAATGAACTCCACAATGAGCCAGGTAAAACTATATGAAATAAAAGCAGGCTTTATTGGGTGGTACCTGTGTGGAGTCCTGAACATTAAATTTGTACAATTTTTGCTAAATTTTAAAAATTGGAACATTGTACATAACATTTGTTTAATCGACAACTTTGTCAAAAATATATAACTTTTAAGTCTGAATAAAAATATACCGTTCCTTGCTTGGTCTTCTCACTAATTTCCACGGTCTACTTGATCTACTAATTCTCGTGTTGTATTCTTTGGAACTTATAGGAACATCTCGTCGTCCTTTAAAGACTCTTCAACAACCAGTGAACAACTTCTACCAGTGGACTGTGGATTACATTGTTAATTTGTAGAAGTGGACTGTAGCTATATTTCCAAGTAATTATTATCTTTTATAACTCATTTATCCATAAATCTATTATAAACTGTTGCGACACTTTTATTTGAGTTCGATTTTTATTCTGATATTTCGTACAAATATTTAGCTCATTGTTTAATCCCCTACACCTGTACCCTCAGTATGCACGAATAAGAAAAGCTATGATTAAAGCAGTATTCGACATTGCCTGATTAAAATGATTTTTCTGCTTTCTTGATGAAAACTATCCCCAAAACATCTTTGTTAGCCAGCAAATGTTTCATAGGTCATTTTTACAAGTCTGAAATACGTTAATCAATGGCCAAAGTCTGTACGTATTTTTCCATTCACTCTTTTCAAAGTTCTCTCGAAGTAGTTCTCAGTAACTTTTTATTTGAAATTTTAGTTATAATTTGAGGGGAAAAGTGACACGTTTTCTGGACAAAGGATAATCATTCTTAATCTAGAATACTGTCTATTGATTAGTAGAAATTACCGCGTAAATATTTATCTTTCGAAACCTAGTTAGATTATTTCATAAATTCCGTTGAATAAATACAGGATTCTTAAGAATGTATACTTATTCCTTCTTAATAGAATAACAGAAGGAAGGATAAGGAATGCTGGAATTCACTTTGTTTCTTTAACTGAAAATATTGTGCCACATTGGTACTTATATTTTTAGTGACTGTGCCAGTAAATCTTAGTTTTGTATCTTTAACATTAGTGTTTTCGCCATTTCTTCGGCGCTCTAACGAGTCGCACTAAATCAAATCTGACTTCAGTATCTCGAGTTGCATATGACTAAGCTTAACCCTTAAATTCTTATGAAATCAGCTCACCAGGTCCCACTAGCTCTCTTATTTCACATCAACAATATTCAAAAGTAAATTTCATTCCATATTGGATGAGTTCATTTGATATGACATACAAGGATACAGTATTAATAACTTTGAAATGGTTTCGAGGAGAATTTATCACTTACAGCGTTATCAAGCTATCAATACTGTAACATTGTGTGTCATGGCAAGTGAAATTATGTAATGTGGAATTATATTCTACCATAATTGTGAAATTCTTCTTCTACATTAACAAAGCTCATCCTTTATCTAATAAAAGAGGAATGACGTACAGATTAGCTGTACTTTAATTTCCACCTGTCCTGTAAGAATGACTTGAGCATATTAGTCCTAGTAAAGCTTTGCATATATCCTGGGTACAGATAACAAAAAAATACACAAAATCAATGACAAATATAACATTTTCCCCAATTAACACTCAAAATTAGCGTAATCCTTTTAAAGCATCTGATTAGTGGATTTGTTAGTCTGAGATTTATATTCCCTAGCTGGTAGAAAATAAATAAGAAAAGATTTCTTGTATCCTTACATCTTCTAAGGATAGCTAATATACTCATCGTTGATGAGAAAGACAGTAAATAAAACAATTTTTATTCAAATAATTGACCGAAAAAAAATATGATCTATAATATTGAAGTAAACGATATTAGTCATTTCATTCAGCTCACATACATATTTGATGAGATGTTGGAAACTGTTTAAAGAATGTAAGATGAGATTTTCTCCAAAAGAGACTCGAAATATCAACACACTACTTAATCTAGAGGAATAAGGTAATAATCTAACTTTATTTAAGGAATGAATTGCTCGGATGCTACTACAGTATACACTAATCGTAGTTTGGACAAAAATACGAACTGTCATTAGGCTAAAACCCTCTTTACATCACATCGATAAAACTAAATGAGTAAGGCTAACCCATGCTTGTCCTGACAATATAAGTAAAATTGTTCATAGTAGATTAAATGTCATTAAGAACTTCTTTTAGTGGGAAATTTTTCACATAAATAGGATTAAAATGATTTCGATATTGATGAAGAGATAAGATAAAATTCCACACGGTCTTGTACCAACATTGGAAAGTAGCTTAATCTATGTATGTATAACGAAGATATGATTTTATTTAGTTCTTCAGTACGCTTTTCATATCTAACACTACAAATTTTGGTTGAATCTCTTAATAAGTTTATAAAGCAGAATTTTCTGTTCAAAAGAATTGTTAAACGCAGTTGACAGTTACTCCAGAAATGTACAAAACAATGTGAAGGTCATTTGTAGAAAATTCACTCCCAAAGTTAATGTTAGTTATAGAATTGCTATAAACCAGAGTGTGTCGAGCGTCATTTTATCCCTGATTTGAAACTTTTCACCAGACTGCCCTCGCGCCATTCAACCAGCAAGTAGTCATTCATCCAGTAGGTTAAAATTTAGTAGTGACTGATTGTACATATTATCAAATCCTGATTTATTAAGCACTTGTCAAGAAGTATAAATTTCAAAATAATTAGATTTGCTATTTAGTCTTTTGGAAATTTTTAGATTTATTTTTAACACTTTTTCATCGAAGAATTTTATTGCCTCTATAGAATTCATGACTAAAACGTAGTGACTTGATAATTTCAAACTAAGTTCTACTGATTAACAGAAAATACCTTCTGATGGTAGGCAGCTGTTGGCATGAGTAAGTAAAGCACACCTCTGTTATGTTATTTTCAGTCTCTGTATTATTGTTATACGATGGTGTTCCTTGTTTGTCAGTTTAATGCGTTTTATTCACCGCTTCGCAAACAGATAAATATATCAGAAAGAGACTGACATTTAGAAAAGAGAGAATATGACTGTATTTTCACCCATTAGAATATACATCCGTAATTAGTCTCCAGATAACAAAAGTCTCTGTTCCAGTTTAAACAACCAAGAAATACTCTTTTATAATAACTTAAGAGAAAAATGGCATGTTTTGGTTAATCTCAAAGAAGTAGTGATAAGAAGAATTAAGCTTAAAACTGTACGTAATGCGAAGGAAAATTTAAATTTCATAGTAGTTAGGCACACAATACACTGATTAGTGACGACTAGGACCCTGCGGTAGAATGCTCGCCAAACACACATGTAATCCATGGTTCAATTTTCGGCCGGCGCACCCCTTAACGTCGCCTAGCCAGTTGTAAGTCCGGTAAAGTGAAAACGTTGGCTGTAAGGTTACCGACGCCAATCTGTAAAAACCACTGCTGTTGAAACTTCAAAACGTTAGCATGAATCCCCTAGCTCTACTCGGACTACAAAGGAGTAAATTAATGGTAATGAATGAAGACCAAACAAAGATTAATCGACGCAGTGCGGTTGAATTTTAGCGTCTAAGACCTGCACATATAACATCATTTTAGAAAAGCACTACTCGAAATAAACGCAGACTCTTACAAACAGAGGTTTAACAATGTATTAAAAAAATAAAAGAGGAAAAGATCTAACTAAAATTCAAGGGTATCTCGAGAATGCATTATCCGTGTTTGGAGTCTTCAGCAGTTTCCAGTTCAAGATCTTTGACGTATCGAGTACAATATGGTCAAACTACGTAGCTATTTTCTTACATTTTCTACATTTTCTGCTGATTCACACTACACGGTGGATGAAACCAGAAGTAAATAACTGTTACTTTGTATCTATGTAAAATGTTTACAAGTGCATTTGTAGTATCAATAGTGAGACTATCAAATTAAAACAACTGCAAATATTGAAAGAAAATAGCAGTTATTTTAATCAGATTAGACCAGAGGCACTGGTTTCGGCACTTACTCGTTCCAATCAACTGGTCACTCTTATGCATCAGTAAAGTAAAATAAGGTTGACAGGAATCAATATTAAGAGTAGTTGACGTTAACGCATATTGCAGTAAACGGTTACATTAGTTTAGTTTCTTCTAGAATTGTATGCTTCACATTCACGTTTATCTGTAGTATAAAACCTAATTTCTTGTTTTATTCATGGTAATTGTTTCTACTGCAATTAAAAACCGGTTGTATCCTCCAGAAGCAGAAAGAAATTATGCGCTAGATTGTAACTGAGAATGATGTCTCATTGAAGTCAGTGACTCCTTCTCATTTGATGAAAAGTTTAAAAAATTCTCATACGAATTTGCTGTTTTACGCTTGTATTTCATGAGGATATTAGATTATTCTTTGTAATAAATTACTGTTAGAATACAGATACGATAAAGTGCTATCAAATTAAATAAAAACCATAATAAACTTATTTATACTTCAATGTATACGATTACAATGGCTTGCTACTTTCATATGGTAAGCAAACAACATAAACAGTTAGTTTCAAGGAGTAAATGCTTACAGTTATGGTTTCCATTACTAAATATTATTCTTTTAAGAATAAGGTACTCATTAAAAATATATCTGGTGTATTCAAATAATTCCAGTTCTTGCAACCGGTTTCCTTTATTAGTTTGAAGAGAGA